GTTTTAGGTTATAAAATCCCACCCTGCTTGTTTTTCTCTCTGCAGCCCACGGGGTTTGTGCTCCTGGGCTGAGATTTGGGTCATTTGTCCTTGGTGCCCAGCTGGAGCAGGAATTGTTTTGTCTCCCTGCTCTGTGCACACAGCTCAGCATCCCATAATGTGAAGCTCAGAACTGCACACTAACGCAGCAATGAGTCAGAAAAATATAAAAACTAAAACCTGAGGCATCACCTCCCACGTTCTGAGCTCTGTAACCCCTCAGCATGAACTTTTTTGGGGGGGTCTGGCAGGAACCAGAGAGCTCCTTGGGTGTTCCAAAGAGCTGCTTGAGTGTTCCAAAGGGCAGCTTGGATGTTCCAGAGCTCTCCTTGGATGTTCCAAAGAGCTGCTTGGATGTTCCAAAGGGCAGTTGAGATGTTCTAAAGAGCTGGATGGTCCAGAGAGCTCCCTGGATGTTCCTAAGGGCTCCTTGGACATCCCAAAGAGCAGTTTGGATGTTCCAAAGAAAGAGCAACCTGGATGTTCCAGAGAGCTCCTTGGATGTNAAAATTTAGGAAAAATTAAGGAAAATTAGAATTCAGGAAAATTAAACACAAATTCCTGAATTTGAGATAAAATAATCCATGTACAATGTGCCTTCTGGCCTTCCTGGGAAAAAAACAGCTCTTCAAATGTAATGTTCATTATTAATTAATTAATTAATTGCCCCATTAAATTTCGAATAAAAAAATTCAGAATAAGCACACGAAATTTAATTCCACTTTACCAATTGGTGCTTTCAAATTAAGAATAAAAAATTCAGAATAAACGCGTGAAGTTTGATTCCACTTTACCAACCGGCGCTCAAAAATTTCGAATAAAAAATTCAGAATAAACACATTAAATTTGACTCCACTTTACCAATTGGTACTTAAAAATTTGGACTAAAAAATTAAAATATAAAATTCAGAATAAACACATTAAATTTGATTCTGCTTTACCAATTGGTAAAAATTTAGAATAAAGATTTAGAATAAAAAATTCAGAGTAAACACATGAAATGTAATTCCACTTTACCAATTGGTGCTATCAAATTTACAATAAAATATTCAGAATAAACGCGTGAAATTTATTTCCACTTTACCAATTGGTGCTTTCAAATTTAGAATAAAAAATTCAGAATAAACACGTTAAATTTGACTCCACTTTACCAACCGATGGTTAAAATTTTAGGATGAACATTTAGAATAAAAAATTCAGAACAAGCACATTAAACTTGACTCCACTTTACCAACCGGCGCTCAAAAATTTCGAATAAAAAATTCAGAATAAACACATGAAATTTGACTCCACTTTACCAATCGATGGTTAAAATTTTAGAATAAAAATTTAGAATAAAAAAAATCAGAATAAACACGTGAAATTTGATTCCACTTTACCAATCGATGGTTAAAATTTTAGAGTGAAAATTTAGAGTAAAAAATTCAGAATAAACACGTTAAATTTGACTCCACTTTACCAACCGGCGCTCAAAAATTTCGAATAAAAAATTCAGAATAAGTGCATTAAATTTGACTCCACTTCACCAACCGGCGCTCAAAAATTTCGAATAAAAAAATTCAGAATAAGCACATGAAATTTAATTCCACTTTACCAATTGGTACTTTCAAATTTAGAATAAAAAATTCAGAATAAACACGTGAAATTTGATTCCACTTTACCAATCGATGGTTAAAATTTTAGAGTGAAAATTTAGAATAAAAAAAATCAGAATAAACACATTAAATTTGACTCCACTTTACCAACCGGCGCTCAAAAATTTCGAATAAAAAATTCAGAACAAACACGTTAAATTTGACTCCACTTTACCAACCGGCACTCAAAAATTTTGAATAAAAAATTCAGAATAAGCACATGAAATTTAATTCCACTTTACCAATTGGTGCTTTCAAATTTAGAATAAAATGCTCAGAATAAACACGTGAAATTTGATTCCACTTTACCAATCAATGGTTAAAATTTTAGAGTGAAAATTCAGAATAAAAAACTCAGAACAAACATGTGAAATTTGACTCCACTTTACCAATCGGCACTCAAAAATTTCGAATAAAAAATTCAGAATAAAGACATTAAATTTGACTCCACTTTACCAACCGGCACTCAAAAATTTCGAATAAAAATTCAGAATAAGCACATTAAATTTGACTCCACTTTACCAACCGGTGCTCAAAAATTTCGGATAAAAAATTCAGAACAAGCACATTAAATTTGACTCCACTTTACCAATTGGCGCTCAAAAATTTCGAATAAAAAAATTCAGAATTAAATTTGATTTCGCGTTTCCGCGTGGCGCCGTAAGATTCCGATGAAACCCCTGCGATGTGCGGGTGGCCCTGGGCAGTGTGTGGGCAGTGTGTGTGCAGTGTGTGTGCAGCACAGGGGCTCTCCGGGTAATTATTTACGCTAATTAATACCTTGATGAAGGTGATTAACGCTTTGTTAATTGCGGCGCAGTCGGCGGCGGAGTACGTGAAGGCGCGGCTGCCCGAGGTGCTGAAGCAGCACCTGCAGGACTACGAGCGGGACAAGGAGAACAGCGTGCTGTCCTACCAGAGCATCCTGGAGCAGCAGATCCTCTCCGTCGACAGGGAGATGCTCGAGAAGCTCGCCGTCTCCTACGACGAGGCAGGTACGGCCGCCCTGCTCAAAATTCTCCTTTTTCTGCCCCAAAAAATGGCGCTTTTCTCCAAATCCCCTGTGCAGGTTGAGCTTTTTGTTCTTGCTTTTGTTCCTCCTTAGGTGGGTCCTCATAATTCTCATTTTTCTGCCCCAAAAAATGGCTCATTTTCAGTCCTTCCCCAAGGTCCTTCAACTTCTGTCCTCGTTTTTGTGAAATGTTTCATCCTTCTGAAAGGATTCCTCATAATTCTCATTTTTCTGCCCCAAAAAATCGCTCATTTCCCCAAGCTCCTTCAACTTTTGTCCTTGTGTTTATGAGATGTGTGCTCCTCTTGAAGTGGTTCCTCATAATTCTCATTTTTCTGCCCCAAAAACTGGATCATTTTCAGTCCTTCCCTGAACACCTTGTGTGGGTTGAGCTTCTGTCCTTGTTTTTGTGAACTGTTTGTTCCTCCCAAAGTGGTTCCTCATAATTCTCATTTTTCTGCCCCAAAAAATGGCTCTTTTCCCCAAACACCTTCAACTTTTGTCCTTGTGTTTATGAGATGTGTGCTCCTCTTGAAGTGGTTCCTCATAATTCTCATTTTCCTGCCCCAAAAATCGCGCTTTTCTCCAAATCCCCTGCGCAGGTTGAGCTTTTCGTCCTTGTTTTTGTTCCTCCTTAGGTGGTTCCTTAGAATTCTCATTTTTCGGCTCCAAAAATGGCTCTTTTCCCCAGACACCTTGTGCAGGTTGAGTCTTTCTCCTTGTTTTGTGAAATGTTTGTTTCTCCTCAGGTGATTCCTCACAATTCTCATTTTATTGTCCCAAAAATGGCTCATTTTCAGTCCTTTCCCAAAAAACCTTGTGCAGGTCGAGCCTTTGTCCTTGTTTTTGTGAGCTGTTTGTTCCTCCTCAAGTGGTTCCTCATAATTCTCATTTTCCTGCCCCAAAAATGGCTCATTTGCCCAAACACCTTCAAATTTTCTCCTTCTTTTGTGAAATGTTTGTCCCCCCTGAAGTGGTTCCTCATAATTCTCATTTTTCTGCCCCAAAAATCGCTCTTTTCTCCCAATCCCCTGCGCAGGTTGAGCTTTTCGTTCTTGTTTTTGTTCCTCCTTAGGTGGCTCCTCACAATTCTCATTTTTCAGCCCAAAAAATCACTCTTTTCCCCAAACACCTTCAGCTTTTGTCCTTGTTTTCTGAAATGTTTGTCCCCACTGAAGTGGTTCCTCATAATTCTCATTTTTCTGCCCCAAAAATCGCTCTTTTCTCCAAATCCCCTGTGCAGGTTGAGCTTTTTGTTCTTGTTTTTGTTCCTCCTTAGGTGGTTCCTCATAATTCTCATTTTTCTGCCCCAAAAATGGCTCATTTACCCAAATATCTTCAACTTTTGTCCTTGTTTTCTGAAATGTTTGTCGCCCCTGAAGTGGTTCCTCACAATTCTCATTTTTCTGCCCCAAAAAATTGCTCATTTCTCCTAAATCCCCTGCGCAGGTTGAGCTTTTCGTTCTTGTTTTTGTTCCTCCTCAAGTGGCTCCTCACAATTCTCATTTTTCTGCCCCAAAAAATGGCTCTTTTCCCCAAACACCTTCAGCTTTTGTCCTTGTTTTTGTGGAATATGTGTCCCCCCTGAAGTGGTTCCTCATAATTCTCATTTTTCTGCCCCAAAAAATGGGGCTTTTCTCCAAATCCCCCGTGCAGGTGGAACTTTTTGTCCTCGTTTTTGTTCCTCCTTAGGTGGTTCCTCATAATTCTCATTTTTCTGCCCCAAAAATGGCTCATTTCCCCAAACATCTTCAACTTTTCTCCTTGTTTTCTGAAATGTTTGTCCCCCCTGAAGTGGTTCCTCACAATTCTCATTTTTCTGCCCCAAAAAATCGCTCATTTCTCCAAATCCCCCGTGCAGGTTGAGCTTTTCGTTCTTGTTTTTGTTCCTCCTCAAGTGGTTCCTCACAATTCTCATTTTTCTGCCCCAAAAAATCGCTCTTTTCCCCAAACATCATCAACTTTTGTCCTTGTTTTCTGAAATGTTTGTCCTTGCTGAAGTGGTTCCTCACAATTCTCATTTTCCTGCCCCAAAAATGGCTCATTTCCCCAAACTGCCTGTGCAGGTTGAGCTTTTTGTCCTCATTTTTTTAAATGTTTGTTCTTCCTCAAGTGGTTCCTTAGAATTCTCAATTTTCTGCCCCAAAAACCTCGCTTGTTTCCCCAAAACCCCTTCAACTTTTCTCATTGTTTTCTGAAATGTGGTTCCTCACAATTCTCATTTTCTGCCCCAAAAGTTCCTCGTTTCCCCCAATATTTGAATTTTTGTTCTTGTTTTTGGGAAATGTTTGTTCCTACTGATGTGGTTCCTTAGAATTCTCATTTTCCTGCCCCAAAAATTGCTCATTTTTAATCCTTCCCCAAACACCTTCAACTTTTCTCCTCATTTTTGTAAATATTTGTTCCTCCTGAAATTATTCCTCATAATTCTCATTTTCCTGCCCAAAAATTGCTCGTTTTCAGCCCTTCCCCAAACCCCTTGAACTTTTGTCCTCGTTTTTGTAAATATTTGTTCCTCCTGAAATTATTCCTTATAATTCTCCTTTTACTGCCCCCCAAAAAAATTATTCATTTCCAGTCTTTCCCCAGTCCCCTTGAGCTTTTATCCTCATTTTTGTGAAATATTTGTTTTTCCTGTCCCGGGCTGGCAGGAGCTGAGGGGACACTTCTGGCAGCTCTTTTTCTCTGCTNTGCAGGAGCTGCAGGGGTGGCCCTGCCCAGCAGAGCAGCACAGATCCAGCTGGGGTGGCAGCTCCTGGAGCATTCCTGAGGGATCCATGAGCCCTGAGCGCAGGAGCAGGAGCTGGCAGGGGTGGCAGCCAGGAGGGAGCCCTGGCAGGGCAGGGCAGTGACCCAGCAGGGCAGGGGGGGCTTGCTGGATCATTCCAGGATCATTCCAGGATCATTCCAGGATCATTCCCTGTCCCCCAGCCAGCCCTGTGCCAAGCTCCAAGTGGCAGGAGCTGTCCCAGCACCTTCAGCTTCCTCCCCCCTCCCTGGCAGTGCCATCCATGCCAACATCTCTGCTCAGCCCAGGGATTTTGGCTTTGATTGCTTTGGAAAAGGAGCTTCAGCCGCTCCAGGCTTGAAGGGGAAGGCTTGGTGGAGGTGAGAGGCTTTGTTTGTGTCCCACATCCTCGTGCAGTGCCTACCTGTGCTCCCAGCTGGAGGCTTTGGAAGCTTTCCCTGCCAAGGGAGGCATTTCCAGCTTCCTGTGGTGCTGATCTGTGCCAAACTGTGCCGTGACACAGCTGGAGGCTGCAGGATGANATTCAGAACAAGCGCATTAAATTTGACTCCACTTTACCAATCGATGGTTAAAATTTTAGAGTGAAAATTTAGAGTAAAAAATTCAGAATAAACACATGAAATTTGATTCCACTTTACCAATCGATGGTTAAAATTTTAGAGTGAAAATTTAGAATAAAAATTCAGAATAAGCACATTAAATTTGACTCCACTTTACCAACCGGCACTCAAAAATTTCGAATAAAAAATTCAGAATAAACACGTGAAATTTGACTCCACTTTACCACTTGATGGTTAAAATTTTAGAATGAAAATTTAGAGTAAAAACTTGAGAATAAACCATGAAATTTGACTCCACTTTACCAATCGATGGTTAAAATTTTAGGATGAACATTTCGAATAAAAAATTCAGAACAAGCACATGAAATGTAATTCCACTTTACCAATTGGTGCTTTCAAATTTAGAATAAAATATTCAGAATAAACACGTGAAATTTGACTCCACTTTACCAACCAGCACTCAAAAATTTCAAATAAAAATTCAGAATAAGCACATTAAATTTGACTCCACTTTACCAATCCTTGGTTAAAATTTTAGAGTGAAAATTTAGAATAAAAAATTCAGAATAAACACGTGAAATTTGACTCCACTTTACCAATCAGCACTCAAAAATTTCGAATAAAAAATTCAGAACAAGCGCATTAAATTTGACTCCACTTCACCAACCGGCGCTCAAAAATTTCGAATAAAAAATTCAGAATAAGCACATTAAATTTGACTCCACTTTACCAACTGGCACTCAAAAATTTTGAATAAAAAATTCAGAACAAACACGTGAAATTTGACTCCACTTTACCAATCGATGGTTAAAATTTTAGAGTGAAAATTCAGAATAAAATATTCAGAATAAACACGTTAAATTTGACTCCACTTTACCAACCGGCGCTCAAAAATTTCGAATAAAAAATTCAGAATAAACACATTAAATTTGACTCCACTTTACCAATCGTTGGTTAAAATTTTAGAGTGAAAATTCAGAATAAAAAACTCAGAACAAACACGTGAAATTTGACTCCACTTTAACAATCGATGGTTAAAATTTTAGAGTGAAAATTCAGAATAAAAAACTCAGAACAAACATGTGAAATTTGACTCCACTTTACCAATTGGTGCTTTCAAATTTAGAATAAAATATTCAGAACANTGTGTGTGCTGGGAAGCTCCAGGAGCGCCGTGCGGGCTCTCCCGCGGCCGCCGATCCATCCGGGCTCTGCTCGTGGCTTGGCAAAAGGAGCAATACAACAAATAAATCCATGCTGAGCGACCACAAGAATCCAGTCTGCCCCCTGCCCCCTGCCCTGTGCCCTCGCTGCTCCCTAGGAACTGACTGGAAGCTCCCATTTCTCACTTTTCTTTAGGAATCCTGTGTAGGTTTGGGTTTGGTTGCTCTCCTCAGGGGCACGGCAGGGCCGGGGCAGTGCTGCTGCTCCTCCCGCCTGCTGCCCCTGCTCAGGAGCTGCTCTCGTGTCCCTCATCCCTGCACCCTGCAGTGGGAGGGTGCCTGGGCAAGGGTTGGGATGTGACGGAGGAAGAGGAGCCAATCTCAGCCTGCTGCCTCTGCTGGCTCTGCTTTGTTCAGCCTCCCCCCACAACGAACCCTGCCGAGCATGTGAGTAGGTAGAGCTCCTGAGCCACCACGTTTATTCAGGCTGTGCATTACTCTAGGGCACTTCTTCTAGGCCATACTGTATCCAAACCAACTCATGGTGAACTTCAGCAAAGCCCCAGGAGCTCTGGAGCTGCTGGATGGGAGCAGAGCTCAGCTGCGGGAGCAGAATGTGTGTCCTTCACCGAGATCACCCTGACCTTACTGCTGTGGCAAGAGATGTGAGAGCAGATGGATTGCACTGGTGACTGGTGGGAGCCTCAGCCAAGCAGGGCGTTCCTCAGAGGTTCCTCAGAGCTACCTAGCTGGAAGTCAGGCCTGTGAGAGACTTCCCTGTA